TTACAAAGCCTAGAAAAAGCTAAGCTCAGAAAATAATTTGCTGATATACAATTAGCTATCTTTTTGTAGCAAAAATTTATGTCCTGTGCCAGAGGTGAGCAAGAGTCTGTCTGGTACTAGTTTTGAGACCAAGGATAAAAGGATAGTTGTGGAAGGCACACATGGCAATGGTTGGCTGAGGGACAGACACTCGGCCCAGGCTTGTCCTGATTACGTATTTCCTCACAGTTACTTTCAAAGTCGTTTAGGTATTTGAAGCCTTATTACCCACCTAGTAACTTTCGGGCTTTCTCCCCCCACCCCACCCCCCACCCTCATGGAATGGGGATCAAACAACCAGAAGAGGACATACATTTTGATAAAGTAAAATGATGTTTGCTTCAAATTTCAGAAGTTACTTTGAAGGAAATTAAAAATACTAAGTACTTTGACATCCTCTTTTTTTTCTCTCTAAGCTTTTCACACATATGTATATACACACACATACACTTTTGTTGTTCAAAAGTTATGTTGTGGCATCGGATATTTTCCCCCTTGGAAATGGTTCTTAACTCTGGGATTTTAGAAGGTTGGAAATATTTTTTCAAGAGAACAATGGTACTCAAAATAATGAAAGGTGGTCCCTACTTTTTCTGTATTTCATTACTTTAAAATTTTTATTTTTTCCAAGAACTGCAAGTAACATTTGAACCATGCTGCTGTTGTACCTTAAACAAAAACTCAGTGATAACCAGTATTTAGTCTATTAAAAATGCTCTTTTTGAAGAAAAAAGTTTGGAAGTCTCTGATTAGCCAGAGTATGGTATGGGTCTTCACTGAAAAATATGGTGACCTGTTTTCTTTCTGAAAACCTGGGAAGATGCAAGTGTGGGTGTGATGTGTGTGTTCTGTTTGCATTGAAACAATGTAATTTTGTGTCTTTTTGTTTTTCCTGACCTATTTTAGAAATTGTACAGTCTGGGGGTGGGGGGAGTCTTTCCTGTTAATATATTTGCAATTCATTAAAGGATATGGAAAATCCAAATAAATTACTTTTGAAAGCAATTTATAATCAAGTTGTTAAAGGTATATAAGAGCTGTGCCACCTGTATCTTATGGTAAGGCACAGCAAAATAGTGAAAGATTACAGTTTAATGTTCTACAAAAGTCTAGGGCAATGTTTCTTTAATTTTTTGTTGTTTTTACTTAAGCCCTCTTTTAATACCTATTTTTTTAATTCACATTCTTTTTTAGTATTATTTGGAATTTCAAAATAAATATCGTGACAAAAAAATGGTAATTTTTAGGATATATATATCTTTTTCAAACTGTAGAAGCCCTTTGCCAGCAGCTGCTACTTTGCAAGTCAACTGTTTATTCTTTAATTATGTGATTTTTAAAAGAGACGCATCCCTTTTTTGTTCCAATTAAAATCTATTTTAAAAGCCAAGACCTGAAAGAAGAATATAGAAGCTAAATTTTACACTAGTTTGATATCTTAGAGGAAGTGGAGACAATTGAAGGGTTTTGTTCGAGATTAAAGAAAATGTTAGCAACAAGGAAAAACAGATGAAATGGGATAAGCTGGGCAGATCAGAGGGAACAACTCAGACTTCATAACCTTCCGTAGGACCTGCTGTTTACTATCAGCTGGACAGGGATAATTGGAAGCGTAGACCGGAAGTATTCTTTGGCTTGTTTAGCAGCTAATTAATGGTTAATGAAGGTTCAGTCTAGGTTTTATTTTTCTTTATCAGTGCAAACTTCGCTAAGTAGTGAGGTTTAATGAAATCTTGGCATGTGTACTGTGTTACTTTTTGTACAATATTTTTAATCCTTAACTCTATAAGGTAGTTATTACTCTTATTTTACAAAGAGAAAACTCAAGCTCA